TTTTTTAGGATTTGCCTCGTGTCGGCGTGTCGGATGGCCGTGTCGGATCCGTGTCCGTGCTACATAGTGCACTATAAATCATATTATCTTCTTCCAGAAAACCAGAATGAACTCGGAGCACATATATCACTCAAAAACTCCAAAAATGTAGAGGCTTTGGTAGTTCTGAGAATTCCTAGAGGATTTCAAACTTATCTATAGTTGTCCACCTATAGAAACTGCCTTTGAATTCTGTTGAATATTCCCAATTGCTCTCTAATGGCAACATCTATGGTGCATAAGGAGACTCTTCTCTCTTAATAGATGTGCAAGTGAAAGAAAAAATTGTTTATGTATTCAAAACTCTCTTCTATTAAGTTCTCCATGACTTAGATTACCCCTGTCATGCGAGAAATTAAGTTAACTATATGCATATTTTTCTAGAATGGCCTTTCGAATAACGCAAGATAACATATGGTTTCAAGGTTGAGATAATATGGTTTGGATAACTCATGAATCATGTCGTGACTATAAACAAATGGTAAAGCAATTTCTGCCAAAATATTTAGAATTTTGGTTTACTAGCAAAGTTTCATATCATAAACTAGCACTTACTTTTCCAATTAAAAATGCTGTATAGCTAGCTAGAATTTCTCAAGATAACAACACTAATTTTTCAAAAAATTTTAAAAATAAAACAAATATAGAGATAAGATATACTTGCCATGCCTTATAACATGAACCCCTCCAATCGCCTCCTCGAGAGCCCTCGCCTCCTTCCCATCAGGATCATACTGATACAACCCTAAACCCAAAACCCATATATCAAAAAGATATTTAAAAATGCAAAAAATATTCTCAATAAAATGAAACAAGAAAAAACAAATGCTCACCTGCGGAGTTACTAAAAACCGCGATTTTTCCGGGGAAAGCAGATCGGCAGAGCTCAAAGGCCGGAACGAGAGATGGCCAGAGAGAAAGAGAATACGGCGCAGTGAGAGTGTTGTCCTTGTCAAAGACGACGCCTTGAAACCCTAACCGCCGGAGCTCGGCCCAGTCGAGGTGGCGGATGTCGGGGACGGTGAGGTGGGGTAGGGCGAGCTGTGGGTCCCTGGAGATGACGTCGGTGAAGGAGGAGATCCCCGAGGGATTGAAGCGCTGGCCTAGGGTTTGCTTCAGCCATGACGTCATTATAATGGGGTTCGATGGGGTTCGTTTGGTTTTGAGGTGGGAGGAGATGAGGAGGGGAGAGGGAGGGGAGAGGAGGCGGAGAGATTGAGGGAAGATGGAGATTGGGGTCATGGCAGCGATTTTAGCAATTTTTTATTTTATTATATTTTTGGTTGCCTTGTTTTTTACACAACTTGGTTTTTCTTTTTCTTTTTCTTTTTTTTATATTTCGCTTTTTTTATGCTTCTCTCACTTTTTAGTCGGTTTGTGCGCAATGGATCACGTTGGATCCCCCGTTCTTGACTGGTAAAATTCAAGTTCGACCACCGCTTGAGTTCGGTGCTGTGAGGACTTGAACCGGCCACAGTAATTTTTTAAGATTACTTTTTTCATCCAGATGAATTGTTATATTTATACATTTACTAGTCACTCAATTGGCTATATTTTGTTTTTATAACATCAGAGGTTAAAATATTTTTTTTTTGTTTAAAAAGCGTCAACATGATTTTCTTAAAAAATACATACACATAGTAGCAATAGTATATACTTTAGTTCAATTCAAACATTGACTTGAAGCCATTTAGAATGATGTCTTTTCTATGCTAAAATGGTGACATAGTAATTACACAATCCAAAAGTCAAAGAAAAAATTTCTATCAAGAAAAAGTAATTTAATATGTCAAATTAACAACTAATTTATAAAATATACATTGACAGTGTAGATAGCTATAAAAAGTAAGGTATATATCTTCGTAAAAATTTTATAGTGAGTGACCAACAATCATCCTAATTTAAGCATAAATAATTATTATTTTAATTGCTAATTTGATACGCCTAACTATAAAATAAATCTCAAGTAAAAAATAAGAATTAAAATTATATTATCATGTAGGTAAATAAATAAATGTTATTAAAGCTCCTATTTAAATTAAATGTAAAAGTAATAATTTAAATTATTTAGTGCCAAATATTATTTCACGCGAGAAAGTAAAATAATCTATGGTCTATATACCTATATAGTCAATCAATTAAACGTATTAAAATTATAATGACCACAATCAAAATTATATGATGAGTTCACATTAAATATAATTTATAAAAAATACTACATTAAAGTCAAAAACCTTTAAACCACTATATAGATTGTTAGAAATTTGTTGCATGTATAAACTATACTACCTAAGAATAGTGATGTGCACACTTAACTATAGCCTAATACAACTTACGAACGACTTACTCTTTAATATCATCATTAATTGATATATCAATGCATTACACTAATATCACAATAAAAATTTAAAAAACTACAAAAGAAACACCCCCAAAAGTTTTAAAAATTGTAAAAACAAATACCCTAAACTTTTATAATTTACAAATACACAAAACTATTATCAAAAGTTTTAAAAATTGTAAAAACAAATACCCTAAACTTTTATAATTTACAAATACACAAAACTATTAAAAATTATATTAAAATCAAGGAACTAAAATACCCTAAACTTTTATAATTTACAAATACACAAAACTATTAAAAATTATATTAAAATCAAGGAACTATAAAAAATCATTGAAAATTTTCAAACTTTGGAGGGGTAATTTGCAATATACTAAACTTTAAATTTGTTTTTTTTTTATAAATTTCAAATCTAATAGATTTTCAATTAGTTATATTCATTAAAGAAAAGTTATGGGTAATATTGTCTATGAAAAGTTTTTCCTAAACCTATACTTTTAAAGGGAGTATGATATTTTTTATAATTTTTTTATTTTCTAGTGGTTGTTAGTAATTTTGTGTATTCATAATGTCTATAGGATGGTGTTTTTTTGTAAATTATGAATATTAGGGGTTTTTTATAATTTTTTAAACTTATAGTCCTTTTCTACAGATTGTAAAGTGTTTATAGACTATTTATAATTCCTATATTTTTAATTTACTAATGAGTTTGAAATTCTCAGGGTGTTTT